GGCTATTTTTTGGTTGCAGCCGTCACTGTTGTTTTGGTGGGCCCAGGCTGGATTTGAACCGGCCACCTTAGGTGTATGTGGTGGCTGGCGCCTTAGCCACTTGAGCCACAGGCACAGGGCCATGACTTTCTAAACTGTTACTATAAGGACTTCTTCATCGTGTCTTGGAATAACTTTTGGCTTTGTGTGTGTGTGTGTGTGTGTATATATATATATACATATATACACACATACATACACACTTTTTTTTTGAGACAGAGTATCACTCTGTCACCCTAGGTAGAATGCAGTGGGATCATTGTAGCTTACAGCAACCTCAAACTCTTGGGCTCAAGTGATCCTCCTGCTTCAGTCTCTGAAGTAGCTGAGAGTATAGGCATCTAACACAACTCCTGGCTTTTTTTTTATTCACATAAATTTGAAGGAAATAATTTTTCTATTTTTAGTAGAGACATAGTCTTGCTGTTGCTCAGGCTGGTCTTGAACTCTTGAGCTCAAGCAATCTACCTGCTTCAGCCTCCCAGAGTGCTAGGAATATAGGCATGAGCCACCACACCTAGCTGGCTTTTATATTTTTAATTAGAAGCAACTTCAACTCTGCCCTTTCTGGAAGCTCTTTGGAGGGTGATAGCAAGGTGAGTACAGCCTGGGTCAGCTAAGGGGGCAGGTTAGGGAGGATAGGTTCTAGAGGCCACACACTCAGAACTCTGTGCCTGAGAACAGGATGAAGCCCTGATTTCAGGTGCCCGTTCTTCAAGTTGCAGGTAGCAGGCAGGATCCCATTGTGGGCACACCTAGGGTGGATCTGGCCTGAGGGCCATGGTCAGGCTGTAGCGCAAAATTGCCTTGGTTGGATGTCGGCAGCCTAAATCCTGGGGCTGCCATTTCCTGGCTGAGACCCTTGGCAAGATGCCAAGTTCCTGACAGGAGAGACCAGAGTGAAGAGTGGGCCATGGAGGGGATGCTCAGGCCTGGGAATGCTACACTGGGCACAGCCTGACAGAGGCAGGAGCCCATGAACACTTTCTTGTCAGAGATGGTGTCTGAGTCTCTGGCCACTGGAGGCTAACCTTCTCCAGCGCTTCTCTGGTTCATGGACCTTGACTCAACCTGAGTGAGCTGTCACCATGGAAATACCACCTGTTCAAGTCCTGGAGCCACTGACTTCATGTCCTTCTGGAATCATCACTGAATGCTACCCAAGATTAATGGGCTCTAGAGACAGGGAGGGGAATTCCCACCCCCCAGGAGACGGCTGGAGTGTGGGTTAGATGCTGCACTGTCAAGTTTTGGCCAGAATTCTCTAGAAATGTCTGCTGCAGGATCCAACTGAGCCTACCTGGTTCATCTTGGGAAGATCCTTGATCGTCTCCTTCTGAACCTCCTTCTCCTTGGCCCACATTCGAAGATAGTGACGATAGTCTGGAGGGCTGGTTGCCTTCTCCTCTATGAGTTAGGAGAAGAAGAGATTAATGTTCATCTGTCAAAGGAAAGAGGGCTGGGAGCTGGCAGCAGGGAACAGTTGGGTTGGATGTTTTCTGGTATGGAGTTACCTGGGTCCTATTACAAAATGCCCTGGCAGTTGGGGAGGCAGTGATGAGGAAATATTCCAGAACACCCACAGGGATCCTCTGATCAGCCAAAGTAGTAGGACTGTAGTTAATGATGATGGCCCCAAATCTGTCTTCCCCCAAATAGTGATAGAACTATGTGGAGGCTGGCATGTGAGGGAGTGTGCTGGCTGGACACATAGCAGGGGATAAGCCTGGGGCTAGTGGAGGGTGAAGCCTTCCATGGCAGCTGGTGGGCTGGCCATTCACCTTAAGAGTTAACTCCTTTGTCAGCACACATATTTGCCACCTCCCTGGGTAGGGGGTCTCCTTGGCAGTGACCGGAAACAGACAGCAAGTACGGGGTACCCAAACCCCACTGATTCTGGGATCACTCACACCACCAGCAGAGAATGGTTCATACCTCCTCTTTTTTCTCGGACATCTTCATTTCTGCTCCCTTCTCGCTCTTCTGGTTGTAGTGCTTCTAGACAACCAGAAAAATAAAAGGAACAAGAACATTCTTCTTCTGTTATGACTGCAAACCATGGGGTCCTTGAGAGGGCCAGTCTATTTTTTGCAGAACCAGCCCCCTTGCTGGCCTCCTGCCTGGCCAGCTCTGCCCTCCAGCAAGGGAGGGCCTAGTCATTTGTTCACTTGGGGACATTAAAATAAAAGGCCACTGAACCTCCACTTTGTCTTTATCAAAGGAACTTAAGTCTCACCATGCTGTTTTTGAGAAAATAATGGTGTAAGTTATGAACAAATTTGTGAATAAATTCTACAGTTTTTGCTAAAAAAGGTCAAACTCAGGGTAGTCCTAATTTCCAATCCCATCTGTGCCTGCCATGCCAGTTGATGAAGGGTTTTATGGACACAGATCCTATGCCCTGCACTGTGCTTCCCAGAAGCGCATGTGTGCTGGAGCTGGCATGCACCACACTGCTAGTGTGCCCATGCACCTGGGGGCAGACCAGCCAGTTTGGGGACCTCAGGTGCGGACACCAGCAGCCCAGCTCTGAGCTGCCCTCACTATCTATGTGGATAGCTGTGAAGGGCCTACCTTTTTGGATTCAGATGTCTCACACCAGAATGGAGACCTGCGTAGGGGCTGAGTGGGGTCTGAGGACAGGGCTCTGTACCATCAGCCTCCCCAGAGTGTGCAGAATAAGCCTGATGCATCCTGAATCTGCTCAGGTGCCGAGTATAACACAGGTACACCACTTCCGTAGTTTCTATACTTGAAAACAAGGTCCTCAAGATTCACGTGCTAATTCCTGTCAACAGGACCACCATGGGCATCTTGATACATGATGCTATTCATTTTCCCTTCTGTGCCTGTTCCTTGGTGTGTATTATCCACCACGTGAAGATACAGGGTGAAGTTATGGTCAACCACCAAATCTCAGGGCTCAGAATGCCTATTCACCCTGGATTGGATGCCCCAACAAACTTTAAATATAGCACAGGGATGAGTTCTAACAGGCGCTTGACAGACATCTTTTTCCTGAATAAGAAAATGATGTGAAACATGTTTTCTCAGGAAAGATTCCCTCCAGCCCTCACCCCTGTCCTGTCTGTTTCACAGGGCTGCAAGGACAGCATTTATATATCTTTCTTATGAAAGTAATGATAGGACACTTTCTGTGTATGTCTGCAGAGGTGATGGCCTGTCTGCTCAAGGTCCAGTGTGATTGCATTTGCTAGACACCCTCAGCAAATGTAGAAGGCTGTGCCTTCCTTCATCCATGCAGAAGGGGTGCTGCTGGGTTCTGGATCCTTCTCAGGACATGGTGGGGTTCCTGGACAAAGAGCATCCAGACTTCCTGATCATGCAGGAGTGTGTTAGGAATACAGAGCCCAGAGGCAAAGGTAGGCCCTGCCTTCCAGGGACTGACCTTGAGCCTCCCAGGGCAGGAAAAGATCCGGATCTGAGGCCAGAGGAGATGCTGGAAGGGACAGCAGAGGAGGAGCAGAGGGCAGAGGGAGGAGGAGCAAGGTCCAAGGAGGCAGATACACAAAAGAAACAGGAGTGAGAACATTCATGGGGACAGATCAGTCTCTAGTGTGGCAGGGCCCAGCCCACATGGTACCAACCCCCTTTAAAGAACACCCCAATGTAGTATATTTGGAGCCCAGGTAGGGCTGCTGGCCATCGCCCAGCCCCTTGGGAAGCTGTGGTGGCTAAAGGGTCACAGCCAGGCCTTCAGATGTCCCAGCCTGCTCACCTTCCAAGGAGCTGTCCTCTGTGAAATAGTGGGCTGCCTCCAGGGCTGACTCAGCCTCCTCAGGGCTCAGAGCTGTGTTCAGAGAGAAGGAAGAAGGGAGAGGAGGAGGAAATGGTGGGACTCACTCCAAGCAGAGCTCCCTAGCCCAGGGCATAGAGCTCACTCTCTCCACCAGGTGCCCAACCAGTCCCAGCACCTCAGCACTATAGCCCTTGGCAGCAGTTTTGACGAAGATGATTCGTTCTGGTTGTTACTGTCTCTTGAGTTTTACATTTTTGAAAACAAAAAACATATCCTATATGAAAATAAGTACAATCATGAGCCCAGGGAATGGCAGCCACCCTTCCACCCCAATGACCTTCTACCAGGTGGATCCTTCTAGGGAGTTTTGAGTTCTTACAGGCAGGTGGGGAGAGACCAACCATGTACAAGCAACTTGCTGTTGTCACTTCTGACATCTTGGGGATTCTTCATGGGCACTCACTGGCCTATCTGATTTTCTGCACAGCCTTTGCTGATGATGACTAAGCAGTGCCTGGGGTTGCAGACCCATAGTATAGTTCTGTATGGGAGCTCACCTGACTGCTATATATAGAGCAGGCCACAGTGAGAGGGGTGCACAGAGCAAGGTGTGGGCCAAAGTCCACAAGAGCACAAGCACCCTGTGCCTGACAGGGTAGGGCAGGCCAAGGTGGCCCAGGAGTATTGGGGCAGCCCTCCCTCTGGCAACTAGGCCTGGCAGGGTCTGTTCAGCCAAGGCCTCTCTAGTAGCAGTCCCAGCCTTCCCCAGAAGTGGTTTTTTTTGAGACAAGAGTCTTAGTATGTCGCCCATGGTAGAGTGCTGTGACATCACAGCTCACAGCAACTTCAAATTCTGGGGCTTAGCGATTCTCTTGCCTCAGCCTCCCAAGTAGCTGGGACCACAGGCACCCACCACAATGCCTGGCTATTTTTTTGTTGTTGTTGTCATTGTTGTTTAGCAGGCCCTGGCTGGGTTCGAACCCACCAGCCCCAGGACCTGTGGCTGGCGCCCTAAGCACTGTGCTACGGGCACTGAACCCCCAGAGGTATTTAAAAGGGAAGCCAAGCACAGATGTTCTCTGCTCTGGAGGATCAGAGGGATGCCTGGGAGCTTTACAAACGACAGGTCTGGGACCAGCACAGATTAAGTCAAAACCTCTGAGGGTAAAGCTCAGCCTGGTATTCTCAATTATCACTCTGAGGGCAATTATGCGGGCAACTGCCAGAATAGAGTGCCCTGAGCTATAGTTTTCATCTGCCCAACTCCCAGCTTCCTGAAATGCGAATGAGCCCTCAGATAACTCTCCCTGCAGGCTCCCTTGCAAAGCCAGGTGAGCTCTCTCACTTCAGTAGGAGCCCCTCATCCCTGTGGGCTCTGGCCTGGCTTTCTCCCGCCCTTCCCCTTCTTACCCAATCCTGCGCATGTGCCCCATTAGGCTCCCATAGGCGTAGGGCCAGAGAGGTGTAGGCCCTCCTCACCATGGAACAGGGCTCTTCAGGCTGATCCTCTTGAGAAACTTAACACACACAGTCTTGGTTTCAAACTTGAATCATGTTCATGAACCCCCATCATGGTTTTTGGGTTAAGCTGCCCATTCGATGGGTGGAGTTCTGTTTTTAGAGATGCCTGGGTACCCGGGGGATTCTCTTTCTCATCCCTTCCATGGCCCGGCTCTTAGGCTGTGTCCAGGCTAGACCCCAGCCTCAGAGCCCCAGC